AGAAAACAATATGTCTTTACGGGTAACAGTTGCGCATTGAAAATAAGTTTCCCGCGTTTGATCAACAACTTTCAATATTCGCGACAGTTCTCCCTTTACCCTTAGCTACCGTTAGAACATATCGTAAAAACAAGGGAGCGAAGCTGCCTCGCGCTGGCTCGCGAAGTGCATATATCCGAAACAATTCCTTCCTTCGCGGCGCACGTTCATTTCACCTCGAATTCCTGTGTTTCCATATAACGCAACGTGACTGCATTAGACGTTAAATATTCGCATTCATGTCAGAACAATAATACGTATTCGTGGCAAGCAGGGGATATATTTGCTTCCCTGCATTACAAACGGATGCCAGAAAAGGGGTAGACAAGAGCGATAACTCCTATTCTCGTGGAATATCTCGGCACGTGCGCCTTCCGGCCAACTTACCTACCGTATTCTTATCTGTCGGATTATGCATAAAGCATAAGCAAGCTTCCCTCCGTCCTTTTGACTCCTTTCTCGGCGATGCCTTTGCTAATCTTGAAGAATTTCATGACGTGTGCATGCAGAACGTTTCTCCGGGCACGGAACATCGAATGAATACGTATCGGAGTCGGCTCGGCCGTATAATTGACAATGAGACTGATATTAATATCTGAAACGGCAATCGAGTTTCACAGCAGCTACCACGTTTAATTCACGGACTCGTCCGTTTCGTGCACACGCCCTCGCTCAAAAATTTACACGCACGCTCGGGCTTCGAGAGAAATCGCGACCAAATAAATATTTGGTTTACAATGTTGCTGTTGTAATTCACCGATCTCGATGACGTTCAAACATCATATCAGCGTCCTGATTTTCCTATACGTTTGATTTTTATCATACTATGTTCGGTGTATGTTTTTGGATCATAAAGATTTTCAATGGCAATCATCTAGCGACAGAATGAATTGAATATTAATTTCTAGTCTAGTCTATATCTTATTTATTATTGTTAATAAATAGTAATTGGTAATAATAATAATAATAAATAATGGTTATTGTTTAATAATAATAACAAATAATGATTAATAATTTAAGTTTAGAGTTAAATATTCTAAAGGCTCAGGAATGCTGAACTCGGCAATATATTTCAAGATCATCGAAATCGGTGCACATGTACTTTTCTAATCTGTACCTAAATAATTTGTACCTAGTATTTCCTTTACAATAATTATAATATCCCTGTTTCTCAGAAAAACATACAAAGAATCTTCATTTCGTCTCAAACGGTTTGAGCAGTATATCGTAATAAAGTTTCCGCACGATTGTTTGAAATCTATTTAAGAGAATTCGCGTCTCAGGAGTAGGAAAATAATTTCTGAGAACTTACATACGACTTCAAAAAATTGTTGTTTTAACGAGGATTTCTAAAATTTACACGCTGTTGCGTACGTATTTACGACGAGTTCTACACTTTTTGCACGTCGAAAGATCGTTGACGCGATTCTAAAAGAGAACGAGAAATCGTTTTGAGGCTACGCTGCGATCGAACGGCGAAAAGTCATGATGGATCAAGCACGGTAAATGTGCGGTGACACACCGCGGGCATAATGACGTTTAACGCGTAGCCTCGCGATAATACGAGCGTCAGACCGCAATGTAGCATAGGCAAATTGATGGAAGATTTGCCTTGATACAACACGTCCGATGGATTTAGTTTCAACCGCGCGTCACGGTCCGCTGTCGTTTGTCGTTAAACACATTATTGCAAAAGACGAACGTCCGATTCACCTGCGAACCGATCTTTCTTCTCTTTCGATCTCTCCGAGAGGAAAAGTTCTGTTCTCACTGACGTATCTTCCGCAGAGTTTCCAACAAGCATCAACTTGTATAAATCAGATCCTCGCTGAAGCAACAACGATCGGTGTTTCATGTATCTTGAAAAACTTGCCGATTGTCGAATATTTCTATTAGCAGCGTCGTCGTTTGTTGTGCCAGATCAAAAGAAAGTAGGAAACGTGCGACCACACATCATGATTTATAATTTCTTCACCAAAAATTGGTTATATTAAAGGAAAATCTTTGTGAGATAGATTATTACAATGAAAAGATTTAAATCGTTAATTTTTTTAATTTTAATTGAAATTCCTATATCATTTATTAATCAACGCCTATTAGTATCAAACGTATGTGAAATTTTGGACCAACATTAGGAATATTCTTATTAATTCAAGTTATTTCAGATTTATTTTGATCTATACATTACTGTCCGAATAAACAATCGTTTATAACGATTTGAAACTATTAATTTTTCGACCCATGTTTATTAGGACTTTTTTCTCACCTTTCAGCGAATATTATATACCTAGAGACTATGAACCCTTTTTTTCTATTCAGCCTGTATAATCACATCTGTAAGTTCCAGAGTGGAAGTTTTGTCTTGCTCGAATAAAAGTTTTGCGAAAGTATAATTTTCTAATTATATCCAACAACTCTTCGCACTTCGAAGGTAAATTATGGAAAACTTATGGAATTCTCTAAATGCCTGACACCTGCGAATTCCACCACAAGCATGTCGTAAGCAGCATTATTACAAAATTGCATCTCGACGATGACGACAATGCAACAGAGTAACTAAATATTGAGGGATCACGGTTGTCACGTGTTTCCATTTCAAACGGAAACAGGCATCATGCATTTGATAAAAACTTGTGGAGGAGCGTTCGACAACGAGTAGCGACTCTTTTAAGATACGTGTCATCATCGCGAACGTGCAGGCACGATTCACGCGCGTACGTTTGATTCGCACCTTCTCGCGCTGGCAATACGGCCGGTTGATTGCACGGACGAGTGCTCGGTAAACGCTTGGTATTTTCGATGTCGGATAAAAACTATTGTCGCGCACATCGAATATTTCGTCGGGAGGTCTGAAATTTTGATAACACTTGCAGCAATGGTAGATACGTGTTGTTCCATTCGACGCGGAAATTTTCATCGCGCGGACGTTTTTACGCGAGCATTTTTACGGATTGGTAAACCGGTTCTGCCCGGTGATTCGCGGGCGATTTATTGGTTTGGTTTTCGGGCGGGCCCAGCCCGAATCGACGGGAAGTGACAACGGCCGGCTCGTAAATTTACAATAATTTCGACAGAGTGCACACGAATGCGCCCACGGAGGGGGGGGGCATCATCCCACCCCTTCCCTCCCCTCCCGCGTTCGCGAAACGCTTCTCTCGAGACGTTTGAGAATTATCCTTTTCCTCGTTCGGCGAGAACTGCTTTCCCCGAGACTTTTAAACTCTGTTACTTATTCACCGAATTTTTCTCTTACTTTCCTCCTCCCGACCCGGGCATTGAATCATACTCCTTGGAAAGACGTCCTATTATTAAAACTTTTTCCCTCTGTTATCCGACTTCACGAACTTTCGATTATCCGAGTTCATTCGATCGTAATTCTTGCTATTAGCGCTCGAGGGATATTAACGGGGAATCGCGCGCGTAACCGTTAAATTAAGAGATCGCTTTAACGGGAGGGGGAGGGGGCTTCCCTGTTTTGAAGCTGGCCGGTTGAACGCCGGCTAGACACTTTGAACGTGATATTTTCAAGAAATTTTTGCCTCGAGCAGCGCCGACCTCGAGTAGCTTTTTCAACTCGTCGTAGCTCCGAAGTAAAAAATTCTTCCTTGGACGAACGAAAAAGGACGAGAAGAAGAACGACGCGACGTCAGGCTCGCGTCGGAAAGTTTCGTTTCCTTTTCAAACGAGTTTTCTCCCCCTTCTTCCCCGTTCTTCTCCGTTCTTCTTTTTGCCTCAACGATCCGAGTAGCATTATACAGCCGACTGAGAGGGGGAGGGAAGGGGATTAGCGCGACTCGGTGATCCGGGGATAGGCAGTTAGTTTTCCTATTTAGTCCAGTTTTGCGTGCCGCTCTCGACGTTCGACGCGCGAGATCTCGCGAGCCTCGAAATGCCTCCTCGCCGCCGGTTCGGAGCACGACGCTTCCAGGATTCGCCGACCTCTTGGAAAGCTCCGACCCGCCGGAGAAAATGATGGAAAGCGTAATCCCCCTTAAGAGGCTTAGCTCGACGATCCTCGAGTGACCGGGAGATAACGCCCGGGTTTTCCAGGTGCGAGCCACGGAGTTTTTCAGGATATTTTTCGCGAGTCAAGACGACAGGCGAGTCTGCCACGCCGTTTTCTTGTGGCCTTGCCCTCTCCTCCCCTCAGCGCGTTACTTCCGCTTACGTCTACTAGGGGCCCTGCGAATTTACGCCTGCGCTCCGTATGCAAAGTTGGAGCCAACGCGTATCCGACGCGTCTGCTTCGAACCTTGAGATTCGAAGGGGCCGTTCTTTTGCCTTCCATCATATTATATTCACCCGACTCCACAAACATTATCGCGCGACTAAAATATCGCACTGCCTCTACGCTCTTTTATTAACTTAGCCTTAAAATTTACTATACCGGTCTTGTTCAAAAAATCCCGGCACGAAAGGTTGAACGATAAAATATACTGGCGCAACTATCGGTATTTGTCGTTGAATAATTTTTAAGTACAGTGCAAGAATGCGTCTCAAAGAATTGGAAACTGACAGTGACATTAACTAATGATAATATGGCAATAAAATTTACTTCCTAATAAAATTAAAACTAGTTGAAAAATATCTGTGATTTTTCTAAATGATTCTAAACATGGTGTTCTAAAAAACATTAGGGAAATTGAGAATGATATTCAAATTGTGCGATCCACTCCACTCGGAAAAGAATTAGATCGGAGAGAGTCTAAAATTCAAAAAAGATTTATTGAAACAATTGTAAGCAAGTTGAAAGTTTTATAAAAACTTATCCGAAGAATACCACGATTATTTCAATCATTAATTTCAGAATATGGGTAATTCCAACGTGAATATCAGATCGATGAATCCAAGATTTAAATGTTTTTATATCATTTAATTAAAAGAATCTCATTTTTTAATGCTATGCATATTCCGTGTTAACAGATCTCCCTAAGACTAATCTTATTAAGAAATAATTGCATTAAGTCAGTAATGTTCGAAAACTTATGGATTGAAGTATATGTCTCAAAAATCTTTTCACGCTCTTCGATTGCTATTTCAACACGATTTGACACGATGAATTCTACCAGATGTCATCAGTGTTAAAATACAAAGATTTAAAATAAGTAACTGGATAAAATGAAAAATGAGCCTTCGTTGGACTTTCTTTTGCAACGTAATACGATAATGAGTAAAAGGAAGTTTAAAATTGGCACGCGTGTACATACGTGAGAATAGTCGTCCTTTCAACATTCTATTTCGAGGTATATATACGTACTTATTCATTGCTCTCGTTATGTGCAATTGCATTTTACAAAATTATGGATTATCGCATTTGCCTTTTAAATGTTCTTCTGTCCGCCGCTGTATTTTATAAAAATTAAATATTCCGTTCTCCATATGCGAGATATAAATTTTCTCGTGGCGGTTGACATGCGGATTTTTATACAGATTCGTATTTTTTCTTTTATTTTATTTTATTTTATTTTTTTTTTAAATTGAACTCGCGCGGAGATTTCTTTCGAGCATTGTACATTTCATATATATTATATTTTTGCGTTTTATTACATATACAGGTTGTTACATTTTACTTCTACATTTTATTATGTACGTTCCGAATATCTTTTTACCTTTATCATAAATATAGTGTATAAAAATCTAGCAGTCTAATCGCCAGTTTCTGTTTTGTCGCCCTCGAAGTAATCTTTATTGCTTGCGACAACGCGTTTTTCGTTCTTCAAAACATTTCTTTTTTTTTGGAATTTCGTTTCACCGTGTCGATCGATTGAAAGATAGTAATAACAAACAAATAAATGAAATTTTGATCGTTCTCAAGAAGTACTATTCAAGCACACTTGATTTTCACGAATAATGTTCCCCGAATTGTTCTAACGTCTGAATGTTTTGGAACAGTCAATTTCGCTTTTGGCATAAAATTTAAATACACGACAAACGTTGTTCAATAAATTTCGTCGCGGTTGAAATTGCCAAGCTCTCAAATCTCTTTTCGCATAAACAATTCAACCGATCTGAAGCGTAAACAACGCACGGTTATCGACAACAGATACACGAACTAAATGAAATAAAAGAAATTTATGTAAGCGTTCGTCATTTTTCCATAAACAAATCTCGTCTGGAATTTTCGGAACAGCGTGGTACATCGTCCCTTTACGATTACGTGAGAGAGATGAAATCACATCGTAGATCAAGCTAATCAATTCGTAATTTTTCATGAAAGATTTTACAAATTTCACAAATGATTTTTCGCGAGGTATATAGGCAAAGGCTCGCGTCCTTTTTATTGCATTGGAAACCTACTTCTTGCACTTTCATTTCCCTGGAATAAATTTTATTATATCCCAGTAGTTCTCGCGTTAATTTTACGTCCGCGCCAATTGATCGGGGAACTTTTGTTTCTACAAGATTCTTCGGCTCTTTTCCCTTCTTTCTTTCCCTGATCAGGTCGCGTTCGTTGCGAACCATCGAGCTACCTAATTTTATGGCATCCCCTGACTAGCGCGCCTGTAACAGCGAGGGAACTTGGTTAGTTTGGACGTACCTCGTGAAACCACGTCAATCTGTAAGCTCTAGGATTCGCTCTAACGTTGCACTCGAAGTAAACGTCGTCGCCTTCCTTGATTTTCTTTGGATTCAGCGAAGAGCCCATCTTCAAAGCGACGACAGGCGCGACTGAAAAAAAAGAGAGAGAGAAAGGTGAAACATTAGCGCATATATTATTGTATAAAGTTCACGTCTTATATCTGATAAACACGAGTAATTCAATTAGTCGAACAATCTCCGAATTGGTTCATTCTACGGTCGATGTTGACTAATTGTAAATCAAATGACAGTTAAGGTATAACAAAAGTTCCAAATTCGTTTGAAGTTCATTGAAGGCAATTAAGCCTGAGTCGCACTAGTTACGCTTAATTAAAGACTAGAACATTTAAATACGTAGAAATGAAGAAATCTCGAGGAGAATTAATGTAGATCAACACAGTGATGAAGCACATTCCTGTTTTTCCTCAAATGTCGAGCTTGCCACGCGGATGCAGTATCTGAAAATCGCGTACAGAAAAACAAGGACGTGCTTCGTTAAATCGATAAAATCTCTATCGTGTTAAAAACCATTCACCCGTAACAGTCAGGGATTTCCCAAACTAAAAAAACATAATGTAGAAAAAGACGTATAAAAAGACATATAATACATAATATGTATAATATATAATATATATAATATGTATTATACATAAAAGTTGACATGTTATAATATATAAAAGAATGTGTTAATATATATATTAATGTATAATACATGAAAGATATTATAATACATAAACAAACGTTTTCTATATTATAATGTGTGAAAAGACGC